AGAATCCTTCCTGTTCCCTGCCACAATTTGGCAAAACAGCAATATATTAGTTAGGATTCTCCAGAAAAAAAGAAGAGAGAAAGAGATTTAGAGAATTGGCTCACATGATTGTGGAGGCCAGCAAGTTTAAAATCTGCACAGTGGGCCAACAGGCTAGAGACCCAGGGAAGAATAAATGTTGTGGTTAAAGTCTGAACTCTTGCTCAGAGTAGGAATGGGAGAAAAGAGTGAAAATTGGTCTTTGTTGTATTCAGGCCATGCAAGCTGATTGGTAAAGCTCATCCACATTATGGAGGGCAATCTATTTTACTCAGGTATACCAATTTAAATGTAAATCTCATCCAAAAATACTCTCACAGAAACATACAGAGTACCATTTGACCAAATATCTGGGCACCATGGCCCAGTCAACTTACACATAAAATTCACCATCATAGGCAAGTTAGTACCCATTCATGTCCCATCAACTTCAAGGGCCCCACCATATTTGTGTTTTGAAATATTTTTAAAAAATTTTTTAATGTTTTTATTTATTCTTGAGAGAGAGAGAGAGAGAGACAGAGTACGAGCAGGGAGAGGTAGAGAGAGGGAGACACTGAATCTGAAGCAAGCTCTAGGATCTGAGCTGTCAGCACAGAGCCCCATGTGGGGCTCAAACCCACAAGCTGTGGGATCATGACCGGAGCCGAAGTCAGAGCTTAACCGACTGAGACACCCAGGCGCCCCTATTTTTTAATTTTTTTGATGGACGTTTGGTGAAGTGGGTGGAGCTCACAATATCCAACTAAACGTCTTGAAATGCCTTGTAGAGGAGAAATATTGTGGCCTCCTTCCAATTGGAATGATTTAATATGTCAGAGAATTCTATAACCCTGGGGTACAATTAGGAAAAGCTCTAGAGCCTGTAGGATTCAATATTTATTTAGCTATAGCCAATAGACTTGCTCCAGAGAATAGGGGATGAGCTATATGAGGTAAAAAGTAGAGGAAACTCATATGTTTTCTGAGGCCAGAGAGGAATATAGAGGAAAAAAATATTAAATCACCTGAACACATTTAGACATTTTCCTATACACATTTCTTGAGCACATAAACAAAATCACCTGAAAAGTTTCAAGTATTTCCCTAGATAAATATACATATTTATTTATGTGTATACATATATGTATATATACACATATACATCTTACCCGGAAACATTTCTATATTTAAATGAATATATATTAAATCTATACATTGAAATATCTTCTCATCACATATTCCAAGTAAAACCAACCTCCTACTTAATGCTAAAAATGCTAAAAGCATTCTCATTGAGGTCAGAAGCAAGATAAGGATGTCTACTCTCCATTGACACCATTATATAACTTTTTTTTTTATAGTAGGAGTAACAGACAAGTCAAGAGAAAAAACTAAGAGATAAAATATTTTAATAAGTGAGTACAAATTATCTTTTAGATGATATGATTGTAGGTCTGGAAAGAACCAAACAAATCAACTAAAAAATTATTCATATACAATGAGAGATTTCTGTAAAGTGGCTGGGTTCAGTATGAGTGTATAAAAATTGATAGCCTTATTATATATAAGCAAATAGCAACTAGAAAAACTAAAATGGAAGAAAAGAGCCTATTTGCAAGAGCAACCACAAACACACAAACAAACCTCTAAGAATAAACCTAACAAGTGATGAGTTAGATCCACGAGAAAAATGTTTTAATAGTTCAAAGAAGACTTGAATATAAGGTAAGTTATGCTCTGTTCTTAGATAAGAAGACATAAAAACATCAGTTCTTTCTAACTTAATCTATAAGATATTTCATCCCACTATAAAATACAAATAGAAAAATTTTAAACATAACTAATTCTAAAGTTCATGTGAAAAAGTAAACAGCTAAGCATATCTAGAACAATTCTAGAAAAGAAAAAATAAGGAAACTAGATGCTAAAGAATTTTAAAGAAAAAATAAAGAATGTGGTACATACAAAAGACTGTTGCAAGGGAAAAAAATGCAGACACGGAGAATACAAAGAACACGTACGTAAATTTATAACATAAGTAAGAAGACATTGCATGGAGGTGAGAAAAAGATGAATTCTTCAATAAATGGAGTTTTGATGACTTGATAGCATTCTGTGAAAAAAGTAGTCAATTTTTTACTACAAAATTTCCAGGAAAATCTAACAGTAAATGGAAAAACAAATACGTTATAAAAATACTAGAAGAGGGGCGCCTGGGTGGTGCAGTCGGTTAAGCGTCCGACTTCAGCCAGGTCACGATCTCGCGGTCCGTGAGTTCGAGCCCCGCGTCGGGCTCTGGGCTGATGGCTCAGAGCCTGGAGCCTGTTTCCAATTCTGTGTCTCCCTCTCTCTCTGCCCCTCCCCCGTTCATGCTCTGTCTCTCTCTGTCCCCAAAAAAATAAATAAATGTTGAAAAAAAAAATACTAGAAGAAAACATGGGTGAACTTTTTTTATACAACCTTAACAATATTATGTAATATCTCCTAAGCCCAAAAAGATTGACAACATTGACTATATTGAAAAAGAAAAGACAAAGATTGAAAAAAAAAATCACCTTTTAATAGGTATGTCTAACAAAGTGCTCATTTCCTTAATATCCAAAGACCTATAAATCAAGAAGGAAAAAGTCAATAATTACATAGAAACTTGTGTGAAAATATCAAGCAGTCCTCAGCAAACTAACAAAACTACAATTCAAAACTCTAAGGAAAGAACATTTTTCACTTCTCAAATTAACAAAAGTCAAAGTTTGATGAGACGCTGAGTGTGGAGGGAATGAAAACTGGAAGGAGCACGTCTCTGCTCTAAGTGTGTGTTGTTGCACGCTGTGGAGGTCATTTGAATGCAAAATACAATTTCTTTGACTCAGCAGTTTCGTTTCTCGGAAGTTATCCTACACATAGTCTCTCACATGTGCACAAAGACATTGTCGAAGGATATTTATTACAGCACTGCCTGCAAGAGCAATTTGTTTAAAAACAATATAAATGTACATCAATAAATATCTGTAAGTCAACTACAGTCCACCCACACAATAAAATACTAGCAGATATATAGTTAAAGTTTATTTATTTACTTAGAGAGAGAGAGAGAGAGTGCTGAGGCAGGACAGAAAGAGAGAGAGAGAGAGAGAGAGAGAGAGAGAGAGAGAGGGAGGGAGAATCCCAGGCAGGCTCCACACTCCAGCATGGAGCCCGATGTGGGGCTCGAACCCACGAACTGCGAGTTCATGACCTGAGCTGAAATCTAGAGTCAGATATTTAACTGACTGAGCCACCCAAGCGTCCCACTAGTAGATATTTTTAAAAGTCATTTCTATCTGTCCTAACACGGGATCATTTCTAAAATCTAACAAGTGCAAAAACCAAGACTTGGAAATGTATGTACAATAAGCATGTGCATGTAAACGAAAGTCTGTGTGATTGTCTGGTACAGGTGCAGTGTATATAGAGAGAGCGCATCCTGGAAAGGACGATGCTCAAAAAACTGGGTGTAGCAATGAGAAACCAAGGACTGTGGAATAAGATGGGAGGAAGTGACTTTTTACTACAGTATATTATTTTGTACCTTTTAAAGTTATGCTCCATGTGTATACATTACTTCTTCTAATGAATAAATCAATTCGAAGTTATTGGAAATTTTATGGATGGCTAATTCACAAAATCAAACTAAAATAAATGCTATTATGGCAATAGGACCTACTGATTGTAATATTACATATTCTGTTCATAGCGTCTTTGGAGAGCTAAATCCTGGATATAAAGTCTTCATATGTCTATATGTGTATGTATATTTGATATAAGAAAACTTGAGGGAGAGGGGTGAAGCAAGACATAGAAACTTTTGGACTAAGAAGTGTGGGAATGATTTATGATTTGTTTATTCAAAAATGAATAGAACAAAATTATATGTCAAGCAGCGGAAATGACAATATAAAGGAGAAAGGAAAACCCTTATTTCTTGCACACGAGTCACTTAAAACTGACTGGACTAATAAGTCCAATACAAGAAGAAAGACAAAAAAATTAATAGTAGCACAGATTACAATAATTTGTAGTGGCTCAACCAACACCAAAAGATTAAAGAATAAGAGAAGTTTCACGGAAGTTAAAAATCTTGACCTTGGTTTTCAAGACCTCACTAACTCCCTTGTAAAGAACAAACTCTTCCAGCTCCAAGAGCAGTTCTCAGCTACTACCAAAAGTTCCTGTGACCCCCCAAGTGCCCACATAGTTTCAGTAAGCTGGGAATATTCTGTTCTGACCTTGCACATAACATGCATGTGCAGCTGTCAAACAGCCAGCAGCTCAGCCACAGAGGCCAGTCTGTAGGAGGGAGAATGAGTTCCATAAATAGCGCCTAAATGCTTCATGAAACACTTTGTAATCGTTACCAAGAACATCTCTTTGGGACTCCAAAGGCTTAGAATAACAATTGACTAAAGATATTCTGATCGGTAACGCATGTGTGGAGAAAGTTCCAGACCATTAGAGCTTATCTTTACGTATAATCCATCCTTTTCGGGGGGATTTGTAACTTAGTAGAGCAAAAAGAATCTCTAAAATACTATTTCCAAAAGTCTTTGGCCACCCCCTACGTTGATTTACACATTCCACTGACTTGCACATATTCTGTTTAGACCTGACAGTTATTAAAACCTTGGACTTTGGTTTAAAATTTGGCTTGTAAGGAAGTGCCATCAACAGTTCATTTAGAATTTGAGGTTCTTTTCCAAAGATTTGAAAAGATTCAAATATAATCACCTCAGATGTGTAGATCAGGGGTCAGCAACCTATGGCCTGTGAACCAAATCCGGTCTCCTGGCTGATTTTGTAAATAAAATTTTTGAAGCATAGCCATACCTTTTGTTTACATATTGCCTATGGTGGTTTTCACAGTGTAAAAGCCAAGTGGAGAGGTTGCCATGGAGACCATAGGACCCACAGCCTAAAATATTTACTGTCTGGTCCTTTAAAAACAAAGTTTGCTGACCCCTGATTGAGATTCATGCAGTTAGAGCCTGAACCATCCAAGAAAACTTTATTCTTAATGATGTGATCACATCAGCAACAATTAAGATTCTCACTTTGATGATAGCTAAGGATTTGAAACTGGACAGGCTTGGGTTTCAGTCCTACCTATGGTGCTCTTGCATATTTTAATCAAGTTACTTATTCTCTTGGTGCCTATTTTCTCATCCGTAATACAGGGATAATCGCATACATAGTGCAAGATTATTGTGAGAATTTTTAAAAGATGCCATTTATCATAGTCACAAGGTAAGGCAAAGAGGCCAATGGGTAAGAATCCAATTACTATCTCGAAGAACATACCTTTTTGTGTGTTAGGTTATTTATTGGGTTTAAGTCAACAATGATTGTATTACCTCAAAACTTTGTGGTTAAGGGATTCAGGCAGGGCTTAGCTGAGTGATTCCATTGTCCCTTATGGTATTGACTAGATGGACTGGTCTGTAGGCTTCAGATAACATCACTCCCATGTGAAGGGTAAGTGACCGACCAGAGGACAGCTCAGGACTCCAGAAAGTATTCCAGAGACAAAGACTTCTTATGACCTAGCCTAGGAGTCACACAGTGACACTTCTGCCACACTCAAGCAAGCCTCTGAGGCCAGACTCTCCCCCTCAGTGGGAAAAGTCACAGAGAATTTGTGGCCATCATTAATCTACCAAGACTTACTTTATCTGCATAAAACAGTTTCACTAAAAGCAACCACCAAAGCAACAAGAATTGGATTCAGCCAAAGAACTGGAGGATTTAGGATTGCATGATGCTGGTTTACATTAATTTCCAACTTGTCTTCAAATTGTTTTGGTAGCAGGTAAACACAACTTGTCTCTTCTAACAAACAAAGGGGCTGGAATTCTCAGTACCCCCACTTTCATATTCTGGAATTGACCAGATTAGTTGAATCATCATTCTTCTCACACGTATAAAATGAATAAACGAAAGGCATTTGCCTTTTCCAAGGCAAAATAAGTGCAGTGTACCTGAAATTATAAAGGATGCTAGCCGTATTTGAGAAGTATTTTGATGGAAGCGGTAACCACCTACCATCTTTTTCCTTTCCTCAATGTGGAAACGTAATTTTTCCAATCCATTTTATTCCAGATGTGTTGGGCAAGAAAAAAACCCGTGATGATGAGGAATCCAGCCATATGTCATTGAGCAGATCCAAGTGGGTGGTTCTACCAAGAAATGCAGTAAAACTAAATTGGGAAAAGTGGAGCACGATCGGTCCTCATGGACTGAACAGATGTAAGACCTGAAATAGACACAAGGGTCCCAGAGCTTAGCGGAGGCTGAAATTCTGTGCAACAAGCTAATGGTGTCACTTTCTGTGTCTTCTCGCAAACAGTAAAAACTTCAGAACTGCATTGGGGGGAAGATCTGAAGTGTTATGTCTGAGAAAGAATATCATTCTCCAAATGAGAAACATAACCAAAACTTCTTTTGGAAACTCTCTTCTGTGCAAATTTATAGGAAATTGTCTTTGTAAGATTCATTTTTCTTTTTAAATATCACTCTCTGATATATAAAATAGTTTTTTTGATAGTGTTTAATGTGTCTGTGTTATTCTAATGGGCATAGCTGGGTGGCTGGATGGGAAGATGGCCAGTTAGAATCCTTGTAGTCAACTAGGCCAAGAAACACTCAGTTTTTTTTAACCACAAGGTTTCATTTGATGAGAAAATCAGGTCATCAATGGATACTTTAAGATTAGCAGCATTGTTTTCATTTCACAACAATACTTTCTAAAAGAAGAGCCATTAATCAGCAAGTAATACTTTTTTAGTTTAAATAAAGCAAGTTCTTCCTTTTTTTTTTTTCTGTAGGAATGTGACCTACTTAAGAAAACTCAAGCACACTAATATCACTAAAATGTTAACAGTTAATTATTTAATATTGTTATTTTAAAATTTAAACTGTAAAAATGGTTGAGTTTATCAGTTAAGATATAATAAAAGAAACTGGAAACCAAAGTTTGCTTTTCAGAATTTGCAATTGTTTTTTAAACATAGACTCTTTCATTTAAAATGTTTTGATTCTGATGTTGGTTCTCAGTGGGAAGATCTCAATTTGGCACATAACCTATATCCTCACACTGAGAATGCCATTCCTGAAAACCTAAGTTTCCAGGCATGGGGCCATCACGGGGCCCCTGGGTGGCTCAGTCGGTTAAGCGTGCAACTTTGATTTCCTCTCAGGTAGTGATCTCACAGTTCATGGGTTCCAGCCCCGCATCGGGCTCTGTTTGACAGTGCAGAGCCTGCTTGGGATCCTCTCTCTCTCCCTCTTTCTCTGCTCCTCCCCCACTCGTGCTCTCCTTCTCTCAAAAATAAATAAACTTAGAAAGGAACCATTGTTGGGGAATCCCCTCCATTGACAACAACCCATATTTATAGTATATAGCAGCTTACAAAATGCTTTTGCAAAAATTGCCTCATTGGTTCCTCACAAGCCTATGAGTTAATTTTTCTCATAATTTCTCATAAAGAAACTGAGGATCTGAAATGATAGAAGGTTTTTCCCTTTTCTCCCAAATCCCTGACCAGTCCCGATCCTCTCCCCTCCTTCACACTGCTCACCAGCATTATCTACTCTGGGCACACTGATTTGCTTGCTGCCTCCCACACAGCATGTTCTCTCTCACCTATATATGCTTGGTGGGTTTGGGTTGTTTGTTTAAATGCTTTGCTTGTCCAAAAATGTTTAACCCTGAAAGTCATCCCTAAACACGACAGCTCACATCTCTCTCGCCTTTTAACAACACCCTGCACAACACCTATCTGTAATGCACCATGGCATTTGTGTGGTTTCCCTGTTTCCTCTCTAACATTTGCACATCTTAGGCATCCAAATGGCATATCAATAACTTGCATGCAGGGGCTGTGCCCTTCATTCACTCTCCGTCCCCTGAGTGCTGAGCATAATTCTGTGTACAGAGTAGAAGAGTACTTATGACTCAAATGAACAATCTGGAAATCTCTGTTGTCCAGCTGGGTGCCCCGGTTTCTTTCCTCTGCCTCAAATGCCCTCTATGCTTCCACCTTTCCAACAATCCTGAAGACCCAGCTCATGTCATCTCCTTTGTGAAGCTGTACTGAACCATCAGGGAGACTTTAGTCACCATCTCCCAGCATGTGTCATTTGGTATTTACATATCCGTCTCTCCCACCAAACTGCCAGGAACATACCCACCACGGCTTCGAATACCTCCCATATTTTCCCTTAATTGTTAATACAAGGAATTCTTAACCCCAGTATATTGTAAATTCCTTTAGAGTAGAGAATATGTCTTCAGAGATATTCACAGGGTGAATGCAGTCTTTGGAAAGAGATCAGCACTAAAGCGTTGAAATCATCTCCGATGAAAAGCATTCATTCCCGAAGACGAATAATAAACTAACTCCACGAAGCCTTTTTGAAAATCGCTCAAGAATCTTTCAGAGGAAGTTGGTATGTTTATCCGAAGTTTTTTGTCATAAACCAATCATTACATTCATGACGCACTTGGCACAATCCTATTGGAAGAATATTGATGGTGAGCAAGGATAACTGTCATGTGAATCATTTTCTTTACAATGAAAATGTCCGATGCAAATATTTCTCATAACTCTAGGATGGGCCTATTTATGAGCTCCATAAAGATATCACCTAATTTCTAGAATATATGGATTTTGGATTTCCATGGCATATTTTACATTCAAGGATAATGAAAAGTAATGAGCTGAATATAGACTATTATATCAAAGTGAACAGGATGGTCATTATTCATTCCAAATAGCAGAAGCTATTTTCATTACATCTTAGTGAATTTAGCCCACATATAATGATACATAATAATATCTTAGTAAATTTTGTGGTATGAAAATGTACTTAGACTTCTTGATCTCGAATGGCAGCATACATACACAAAAGCAGCCTTTACATTGAAATGAATATGGGAGTCAGAGCTCATGCTATAGAATAAGGATCACCTGGGAAACTTGTTAAATATACAGGTAGTCTGGCCTCAGTTGCAGAGGTCTGAATCAACCTCTGTAATTTTAATAATAGCAATAGTGATTCACACCAAAATTTGGGAGCCGATGGACTAGGGGCATAAACTCAAGTGGTCCTACAGGCTTGCAAGAGCTGATCGCACCCATTCCTCTTCCCCGCCCTGCGTTCAGTCACGACCCGTCCCTAACTAAGTCAGCCATGGTGGCAGTATTTATACCATGGAAAGTGGCAACTACTATGTTGCTAAACATCTACCAACACTCAACCAGATAAGAGATCAGAGCCTTGGTCTCTCTCCGTAAGAGAATTTTTTGGACAAACCTTGATCCTGCTGAAATTCTCTGACAAACGTTGTTATCGGTATAGTAAGGAACTCAAAGTTCCCAAGTTGTCAAATTTAGTACTTTCCCTTAAAGAAGTGAAAACAACAAGACTCAAGCAAGTGAGTTAACAGTCGTTTATAAAGCAAGGAAAACTAAAATTTCTTGTGTTGATGAAATTTTAAAGGATTTATGGCCAAGGTTCTACCCCAGATAAGGTGATCCAGGGAAAGATGCAGGAGGGGTTACCTATAGATCCGCTTTGCCAACTTTCTCATATCTAGTCAAGTCCAAGTGTCCTGTACCTTCCAACTGCAAGCCAACGTTAACTCAAATATGGGGGCCTGATAGGAGACAGTCAATAGCACACATCCTGCCCTCCATCCTGGACAGGTTTAGGCATTTATGCTCACCTAAAAACAAACCAGAACTAGACAGGGACGACGCTCACTTAATACTTTATTAAGTACCGCAGGAAACACAGAGATTAAGCTGTTAGATTTGGATTCTTTCTGCTCTCCAGCATTACATGTGAATTTTGGAATGACTGGGTCAGCAACAAGTCACAGCAACGACCCTGAGACATATTTATGCTCTGAAGGCCTGTGTGCAGTGTCTCAGGGTGGGAAAACTACAGTTTTGAAAGAGAAACTATCTCGCAGTTTCAATCACTGATGGAAACAGAGTGATAAAAGCCTTCCTTAAAAATAACCGGGAGGGGCCAAGATGGCAGAACAGCATGGTAGTTTTTTGTGCGTCTCGCATCCATGAAATACAGCCAGACCAACTCTAAACCATCCTACACACCTAGAAAACTCATCGGAGGATTAACACAACAATCTGCACAACCTGAACCACAGAATTCAGCAGGTACGCGGGACAGAGAAGTGAATTTGGGGAGCAAGAAGCCATGAAAGGTGGAAACCGCTTTTGTGGGTGGAGAGAGGAAGGAGACCGGGGAGGGAGGCAGAATTCAGGAAAAGCACCCCTCCCCAAAAGCAGCTGGAGAGAAAGTGGAAAATTGGAAACAGCCGAAGGGACTAAGCTAAAAAGGGAGAAAGGAGAAAGGAGAGGGTTTAAATTCCATTAAGACTGTAAACAAGGGGAGCGCATAGGCTGCAACTCCACAGCTCGGTACCTGGTGGTGCTTTGGCGGGAAGGGCGAATCCTCAGGAACAGAGTGGGGTCTGGGAGGTTCTCGGGCCACACGGGGAAAAGCGGTTCCACTGCCGGAAGGACATTTGGTAGAGACTGTCGAAGCCACCTGGTTGCAGCAGACCCCGGAAAGCGGCCACATTCGCTGGAGCTGGAACAAGGTCGTTGAGGGTGAAGCCTGGTGCCCATAATCCCTGAAACGCTGCTGCTACACTGTCTCGCGAACTTTTCTGGGGCCGGCTGGCATCTGGCCGCAGTCTCGGGGCTCCGGCAGCAGCAGAGTCCAGCAGGCCTTCCTGGGTGCAGCCAACCTTTGGCCATTGCTCATTCAGCCATTGCTGGGTGAGACCCGCCCACAGAAGGGCGGAAGGCGTCAAAGCCTCAGTCCTTCAGAAGTAAGGGGCCCGGGAAAACAGCCGCATCTGAGACAAAACTCGGGAGAGAGTTGCTGCCTAGGGCTTGGTAATGGACAGTGAAGATGCAGCGAGTAGACGAGAGCTGAAGACAGAGGATGGGTGCGCGATTGCTGATCCGGGAGAACAGACCGGGTAGCTGGATGGTGCCATTTTCGCCTCCCCTGCGCATGCGCATATGCACCTACGAGCACCGCAACACTCCACCCCAGGAGGCTAGCAGTGCCATCTAGTGGAGAACGGAGCCCTTACACTGAGCCCCACCCAACTGGGCCAACCTCGCTCTTTAAGAACGTAAGTCTCACCGCTTGTTTACTTTATGGACTATAAAGCGCTTCATGGTCTGACTTCTAGGGGAAAACGAAGTAACT